CCATTCGATTCAGTTTATAAAAAGGAGTGCTCATACAAATTAATGTAAATGCTTTTCAAGTTCACACGACTTAAAATCTTTGACAAAAAAGGAGGCTTTAAATATGATCAACGAAAAAGATTTTTTAAAAGAATTATTTATTTAATTTTATTCATTCATTTATCTTTAATTTGACTAGAGAGGGGGGGGAAGCGAGAAAGCAAGCCACCAGGTCCAGGGCTCGAATCATGGTTGGTCATCCGAAAGTCCAGCGCCCTAACCACCGTGCCACCTTCTGGTCCTGGTGCTTGAAATGTTTAACTTTCCATTTCTTACAGACAGCTAAGTCAAATCTTAAAGTTTTTGTTCTCTTCGACAATGTTTCCTCCAAATCAAATTCTAAATTAAGTTCTTTTGATCTCAAGATAACTTTTGGATATTTACAGAGGGCCCTCGAAGCATCCAGAAGGCAAATGTTGAGGCGAGTAGGCTTACTTAATGCATTGAACGATATGGAGACACTGTCAAAGGCGTGACTTTGATCTTCACGTCACATTGGAGTCGTACGAGTATCCATACTCTGTGTTTATGTATGTGTTACATTGCAAGATTTAAATCCCCAGAAACCAACGCTGTGACGTTTATCGGGGTGTTACGGGTTATGTTAAACTGGGGTGTGTCACAGACATGGCCAACATTTGATCAGCTGTGAATTCTTGTCAGAGCATAAACTAGCATTAATTCAAGTCTTACTGATCACAGATAATTCCTTTGCTTAATGCTTTTCTAAAAGTGTTTTTGCAGATGGCTGCAACCCTAACGTGTCACGTCTTTAAGACCATGCCCGAGAAGGATGGAGAAGGTGCTCCTACAAGTTCAGGTGCCTGATAATCCAGTCACTCGAGTGGGTGACAATGTCCATCTTCTACAGAAAAGCAAATCACTTTTCTAATCTGCTAAGCCAACCATTAAACAGAACCAGAGTTTACCATAAGTTTTTAAAAATGCATTAGTTAACAAAATTGCATGCTAAGTAGCCAATATCGTGACTGTTAAGCTATATAGGACTTCCTGGCCCACTGGCTAAGATCTTAAGTAAATTGTTAAAATCTGTAGTTTCAATAAATTCAATAAGATTGAGTCAAATTACCTATGACAATCTATTTAGCAAATAATCCTATTACATGTAAATTAAAAATGAACATGAGGGACCAGCAGTTAGCATAATGGCTATGTTGCTGGACTCCCACTTAGTCAACCACGGTTTGAACCCTGGACCTGGTGGCTTAAACTCACACTGGGCACGTGTGTGTGTGTGTGCGCGTGCCCAAGATCCTGAAAGGAGGGACCAGCAGTTAGAGTAATGGCTCTGTCGCTGGACTCCCATGTAGTCGACTGTGGTTCGAGTCCCAGACCTGGTGGCTTAAACTCACGCCAGGCGCGTGTGCGCGCATGCCCAAGATCCCGAGAGGAGAATGGAGGAGAAGGGATTGCGGCGTGGCCAACCCTCCAGGGGGTGATTTCTCGCTTTCTGTCTCTCTGTCTCTCTGTCTTTCTGGCGAGAGCACATACCCTCTTTTTGGAGAGCAAAAAAACCTCTCCAAAAAGAAAAAAGATAAATATGCCGATATGCCAGGCAAATGTGTGAGTGTGCCCACAGTCCTGAGAGGGGGGTGGACAGGGACCGTGGAATGACCACTCCTCCGGGGTGCTTGCCCCCCTTCCTGTTTCCCTGACTTCTCTGACAAGCACACATGCTTCTGGCAACTTGAAATATATGAAAAGGGGGCCGGCAGGTGGCATGGTGGTTAAGGACACTGGACTCCTCCACGGCTGACCACGGTTTGAGTCCTGGACCTGACAACTTGCTTTCTCTCTCTCTCTCTGTCCTTCTCTGGTATTAATAAATAGTTCAATAATTCTTTAAAAAATATGAAAAGGTATGCAATCCCATTAGGCACCAGAGAAATGCAGACGACACCTCGAGAAGGCCCCCTGTGCACACCTCAGAATGGCTAGGGTAGGGAGAGGGCCATGCCAGTGTGGCGAGGGGAGGTGCACAGGGCCTCTCGTCCTCTGCGGGGAAGTGCCTCGGGCTCCTCTGGGACTTCTTGGTCTCTGCTCCTAGAGCGCGATAGCGTGGAGCTGCTGGCTGGGCACGAGCTCCCAGTGACGCTCCCTCCGTGACAGCACCCACCCACTGTGGCTGACCCGTGGTCCTGTACCAGGGCCACTACCCAGAGGGAATGCCACAGGAGCGGTGCGTGAGACCAGCTGGCCAGACGCCAGACTGAGCCCAGAGCTTCCAGGGAAGGTCTGCTCACCCGTGAGAGTGGACCACGTGATGACGGAGCGGCCGCCGTGGGAGGTGCTGGGGCCTGTCCTCGGCCACATCAGAGTGGTGTGCCAGTATGCAATTCGCTAGGCTCTGCTGGCAGAGCACAGCCCGGGAGCGTGTGGGGGTGCGGGGTGGACACAGCCCCCAGGATGCCTGTGAGTGTGGTCTCATGCAGCAGAGAGGCCTTTGCAGCCCAGGCAAGCCCGGGCTGGGCTGGCTGGACGGCCTAGGGATCACGCTGCCCACCCCCACCGAGGGGGCAGGGTCTGATGGGGGGGGGACATGTCGGCAGAGGCAAGGCCGAGGTGTTGGGAGGGATGCAGGGCCACCATTCCGAAGCTGACAGGCAGGGCTTGTCCCTGTCTGTGGCCCCCTGCCCCAACACTGCGGCTGCAGCCCGGGGGCACTGACAGACCTATGGCTCTGGGAGGTGTGTGCTCACTGCAGGGCCCCGCAGGTGGCACTTCCTGTAACCTGTTGTCTGCAGAAGGGGCCGGAGCTGAGTGGGCTCCTCAGGAAGGGGCAAAGACCACCTCTCCTCTCCCTGCTCACGTCTGCATCCCTTAGGTGCAACCCCGGCACCAGGCCCACACTGCCCGTCACCTCCCACAGCCACCCCCACCACCCCTGGGAGCACAGCCCACTGCCCTCCTCTCCGGGGCTTTTCTGAAAACCTCAGAAGCTTCTACAGCGTGAGCGGCAGGTGCTGAGGGTGGGCAGAAGCCCGCACTTCCTCAGGAGGGCACCCTGCCCGCCCGGAGGAGCAGGCCCACGTGCCAGTGTGGAAGCTACAGCGGGCCGATGCCGAAGACCCACCGTGCCCAGGTCGGTCTGGACTGGGGGTGTACTCGGCAGACGCCGAGATGGAGACGGCGTATCTGCTTGCCCCGCAGCAGACAGCGGCTGTCCAGCCCCGCCCTACAGCCATCTGGCCAGTGCAGCCTGCTTAGCGCCAGTGAAGTCAGACAGAGCGGCAGCCCCGCGCCACGCCACAGGGGCACACCGGGCACAGCGCGCCCAAGACTTGCTGAAGGCAACCTGTGTGGGCGGCTTATTTTTTTTGTTATAGGGTGCATGCACTCGCTGGAGAGACAGGAGACAGAGGGAGGGAAAGTGAGAGATCCCCAGGGAGATGGCCACCTGCAATCCCTTCTCCTCTGTCCTACTGGGCTCCTGGGCACGCAGGCACACGCGGCCAGCGAGTTTCAAGCCACCAGGCCTGGGAGTGAAACCACAGCCGGCCACAAGGGAGTCCAGGGCCTTAACCACCACGCCACCTGCTGGCCCTCCGTGAACAATTGATACCATCCGTGGACAGGAGCACGTGAGAAAGGGGCAGCTGAATCCTGCCACCGCTGAGGCATTTCCTGGAAGATGCGACTGTAACAGGGGCAGGAAAAAGCTGGTCCGTGTGCATGCCACCTGCACCAGAGGCCTGCAGAAGTCGAGGCTCCGAGACCAGAAATCGGTCAGCCAGCAGGGCCCGCGTCAGGGGGGTGCTTGGCAGTGCTTCTAGAAAATGCACCCCTCCGGCAGCCTAACCAGGTGCACGTGCGCTCTGCTGGACTGGCCGGGAGGGCGGAGCTGGCCTCCCGCGTCCACACAGCCCCTGCAGCCCTACTGACAGTGCAAGGGGAAGCCAGAGCAGTGTCTGCTGGACACCACGGGCTTCTGCTGCAGGGGCCTGTCCGACAGACGGCACTCTGGGTGAGCCAGTCACAGGCCCCACACCCCGTGGACGTCCCTGAGGGCGGGAGGACCCCACAGCACACGTTCTGGATTGGCACTGGCGTCACCAAGGCCCTCAGGCAAGAGCGGGACGCCCTCCCCATGCCCTCAGTTCTCCACAAGGTCCCGATGCACCCTCATGGAGCACACGCTTCCGATGCTCCACAGAGCTGGCTCCCTCCGAGGGATATGAGGCCCCTGGGGACCTGCCCTTACCCAGGGCACCTTGGCCAGGTGCTACCGGTGTGGGACTTTCAGAAGCCCCCTGTCTTCCTGATGTCCCAGCATCCCCAGAGAGGCTCTTGTGTGCACCCTGTCCAGGTAGCCAGGACCCCTGTCCCCCAAGGGCTGCAGGGCTTCCTCTAATGCCCTGGGCCAGAGCCCACGACCTGGACGTTTTCTGCAACCATCTGAGTGACACACCATGCTGGGGTCTGCCAGCTCCCCAGGGCTGACCCCGGGGTGATCGAGCAGCCTGGAGTGGAGTGTGCCATTCAGAGTGCACACAGCATGTCCTGGGACGAGCTTCCCCAGGCTGGCCGCCGGGAAGGGCTCATGGGCTGAGTATGCGGCCCAAGGTGCCCTGAGTGCCAGCAGGATGCCCAGCTGCACCTCCAGTGGCAAGCGAGTCTGGGCCAAAGGGGGCCTGGTCCCAGGGCCATAACAGGAGCACGCGTGCCGGTGCCAGCACACGGCAGAGGCATGCTTGGAAGCAGCTCCTGCCGAGCGTCTTGCTGTGGCTGAACCTGGCTCCCAGGACCTGCGCCCTCCTCCCGCGTCTGGGAACGTGCATCGGTCTCCCCATCTACACCGGGGCACTGTTCTCAGACACTGGCCCGATGAGTCCCGTTCCAGGACCCGGGGCCTGGGCAGAGGTTCGTCTGCCCACAGGTGTACTGACGGTTCTTTTCTGAGAAGGAAAGATAACCTGGAAAACTTGCCACAACGTACCAAGGAAAGCATCACAGGCAGGGAAATTTATTCTGAAATAAAACACGTACGCGGAGCTTTAAAACAGCCAAATTTCAAACACACAGATGAGACACCTGAGCCGAGTCCACGGGGAACAGAGCCCCACGTGCGCTTGAACTCACAGGGACCACTCGCCAGAAGTGACCACGGCAACCCGGTGAGGCTGCCAGGGCTGGGGCCGGGGGCTGTGGAGCGAGGGCAGCCCCTCCCTGGCGGCTCTGTGGCAAGACGGCCGACCTCAGGAGTGGGGGCCAGAAAAGCGGTGTCCTCGGGGATTTGGCAATGCAGACGTGGCGTCCAGAAGTCCGCCGGAGGCCTCCGAAATACTCGGCTGTTGCCCTACACGGCCACGTCACTCTGCGTGGGGCTTCCGCCGTGGCTTCTCCTCGTAGGACTCCCCGAACTCGTTCACTCTGCTCTTATCCACAGGATAAAGCCTGCGAAGACACGGGTGCACGGGCAGCAAGCCCCGCTGGGCGCCACGGAGGCCCTCCCGGTGGTGGCCACGCCGAGCGAGCTGACATCGTGCAGTCAGAGCCATTGACAGCGAGGGGCGGGTCCGGGCAGCTCTCGCCCAGGAGCCCTGGTGGTGATGCCCCGAGAGCACGTGACCTCTGGGGATCCCGCCCCATGCCCAGCACCTACCCAGGCAGGAGGGGACACAGTGCTGCACCCACGCACAGCAGGCCTGAGGTTCGGCTTTCAGAGGTGACCCACTGCCTGGAGCTCAGTCTTTCCCAGGAGCCCGGCGTGGCCAGAGCAGCTGCTCAGTTCCATCAGAGATGCAGCTCCTGGCGGGCTCCGGCCACCGTGCACCCAAGACTGAGCCGACCCACTGTCCATGCCCTGCATCTGGGGCTGAAACGGAGATGCCCAGGCACCTCGGAGAGCACGGGCCTTAGGACTGTGGTCAGGACCAGGACTCAGGGGCCAACGTGGTGCCCACGGAGGACACCAGAACGGACAGGGGAGTCTGCTGGCCAAAGAGTGGCCTAGCTCTGCCAGCCTGCACAGCTGTGTCCAGGAGCTAAGCACAGGGACGCCCTGGCCACGTGACAGCGATGGACTGACGAGCTGCAGGACACAGATCTGCTGGCCTGGGATGGCCTCACATGTGGCAGGAAGTGCAGATGGGGCAGTGGGGTCAGGCAGGCACTGGGGACCCCTCGCCTGTCAGTGTGCATGTGGGAGGGGCTGCCAGGGCCACATAGGTGTGGTTCAGGGGCACGGCTGGGAGGGTCTGGCCGGACTGTGTGCCAAGTGCCGGGGCAGGACTGAGAAGGCGTGTGTCTCCTGGGGCCGGCACCGTGTATCTGAGGACACCCACCCGGGACCTGGGGACAGCAGCCAAGGAGACCCCGCTCCAGCATGGCCCGATGGCTGGCTCCACTTGGCTGGGGCCCAGGAGAGGGGAGATGCAGAGAGGTGTGGCGGCCTTGGGGTGAGAAAGGACCTGTAAGGTCCCAAGACCCAGCCCTGCAGCTGCACCCACCCATGGCCAGGGAGACTCCAGACCTAGCTCCACCCAAGGATGGCCTAAGGTGGGAGTGGGGCCCGAGCCTATGTTTGGAAAATTCCCAAAAGCTTTTCCTGCACCACGAATCCCAAACCCCAGGATTGGGCCGGGGGGCCATTCGTACAGCCAGTGCCATGGTCGGCCAGCTGCCATTGCCACGCCAGATGCCACGAACGTGTCTGCAAAGCCTGCTCTAAGCTCTCAGAGCATGTCCACTTCCACACCACGGTGGAGCAGGGCCGGACGGTTCCTCCCACATCACATGGCAGCCGACCGCGTCTCGGCACCACCGGGAAACCCTCCGCCTGAGCGGCCTTTCCCCAGGCCCCGGGGCAGGCGCCTACAGAGACAGGCCCCAGAGGAGGGCAGCCTCACCATCGCTGGTACAAGTAGACCAGGGAGACCACGTCGTCGCGGAAGCAGGCCAGCCGGTGCGAGGTGGGCATGGTGATGACGAAGGCGAAGACGTCGTCGATGAAGGTGTTGAACGCCTGTAGGCCAGACCGAGGGCTGCAGAGGGGCCGTGTGCCGCCGCAGGGCAGACCCGAGGGGCTCGGCAGGCACAGTGTGCTGAGCGGCCGAGAACACATCCATGGAGCACAGGCATCTGCTCTCCTGCCAGCAGCCTGGCTCAGCCCTGGGGCACGCACAGCTCTCCGCACGGGGCCTCGAGCCCTGCCTGATGTGGCTCTGTGCCGACTCAGCCTCGCGCCCGGTCTTCCCTGTCCTCCTGCCCTGTCATCGGGGACCTGGGAGCCTCAGGGGTCTGGGCATCTGTTCACGCGGGCCTCAGCCCCCAGCCCCATGCGGGGCTCCACCACCAACAGCCGGGCTCTGGCCTGGGGGCTGATTTAAGGAACACCCTCGAGAAGCTGCTAACTCGGGGGACGCCTGCTGTGGCAGTGGGGGCCAGCGTGCCCGGGAGGCCGCCCTCAGATGGCGTTCCAGGGGTGCTGGCCAGCGGCTGGCAGGCGACTTACCTTGTAGGTGAAGGCTTTCCAGGGCAGGTGCGCCACTGACTTCATCTGTGAAGAGACCCACGGGTGGGTGTGGAGGCGGGTGGGCAGGAGCAGGGCGGGGTGCATGCAGGGCAGGGCGCGGAGCAGGGCGGCGCCTTACCTTGTAGTTCACGAAGAGCTGGGGCAGCATGAAGAGGAAGCCAAAGGCGTAGACCCCTGAGGGGAGAGAGCCATGAGGCCGCCAGCTGTGACCCAGATGTGGCGCAGCCTCCTGGCGGGGATACTAGCCAACAGCAAACCCTGCCCCTCAGTCACCCTTGCCCCTGCCCTGGGCCCGGTGGGTGTGAGGCACTGGAGTGCTGGGGCAGCCAGGACACAGCTCCCGCCCTCGAGGCCTGGAGGCTGAGGCTGGGGTCGAGGGTGGCCATCACCCCTCCCCAACCATGACACTTGGGAGCAATCTGCCTGCTCAGTTTTGCGCAAGCCCCGCCCCAGAGGCCCAGAGCAAGGGGCTGCGAAGGAGGTGGCCTCCCAGGGTGGCAAGCCGGCGGGCCCACGCGTGGCCGGCACAGCGCATGCGGCCCAAGCAGGGGGCGCCCCGGCTGGTCCCCACTCGCAGGCTCTGTGCACACACAGCTGGCCGAGAAAGTGGGCGGACGGCATCACGTCCTGCTGACGGACCTGCTCTCGTGGAGGGGACGGGGGCCACCTGCTCCCAGCTCGGGTCCGGCAGTCGCTGTGCTCACCGCCCAGGCAAGCTGGGTGCGCCCCTTGGGGAGCGCGGGCACCAGGGGCGCCTGCCAGCCGCCTCGGCCCTGAAGCTCTAGAGGACCTGTCGCCCTGGGCTGTGGGACAGGGACACACTCACCATTGACGAAGCTGTTGATCAGCCACGAGTACCAGCTGCAAGGGAAGGAGTGTGAGCTGCGTCCTGCCCGACGGCCGCGTAGCGGGCAGGACGCTGCCTGGACACAAATGCACCCGCCAGCCGCCGGGAGATATCTTTCCAGGAGGC